ACACACACACACACACACACACACAAGCATGCACACAGTCAGAAGCATGAAACAGATGTCACAGGGAGAGGTAATGTTGAATGAATCTTTGAAGCAGGAGTGACCGTGGGCACATCTCTACCTCCTTAATGCGATCTTTGTCCAGTTCATCAAATATCTTCTTGAACTGCTCTCGGTCCATGTAGCCCACATCTGCATACTTCTGCGCCTCCTGAAGTCCAGATGGCGTAAAGGAAAACAGTCAAGGTGAAGAACCATTTGTTTTTTACCATATTGCTCGTGTATGATTTATTATTCTAACAACTTAATTCAGCTAATTTGTATCTATGTATTTATCTTTATACATTTGTTACATTTTGTTAGGAAAGAAATTTTTAAAACAGGCCTTACAAATAAAAGAATGATCCCAGTCCCTTCCACACAGCGAGGCACGTGTAATCAGACCAAAACATAGAATGTGTGTGTCGAGAGAGCGATGTGGTGTCGGCTCTGACCTTAGTGATGGCCTCTCTGTAGTAGCTCTTCATCTGGACCCTGGACATCACCTTCAGCACCAGATTAACAGCCACATGCTCCCTGACAGGAGAAAACAATACAACCATCTCTGTGTGTTCTCTTCATTTTATATCTGTGGGGAGAATATTCTGAGCCACCGCAGGGGCCTGTTTACTGTGAACCGCGCTGACATTGCTGCTCCTCTGGAGGTAGCACACAATACAACTTGTTAAACTAAAATATAATGTGCGCGTGTCTCTCTTACTCAGCAGCCTGCTGGGCTCCCTGGCAGCTCAGGACTTGGAAAGCAGCTCTGATCCCCAGTCGTCTCCTGATGATGGACGTTTGGACCGACATCTGGACCAAAAACACGATCAGAAAGATTCCCTGACTGCACACCAAACTGTTTTCTTTAAGCATTTCCCATTACTATTGTGGGCAATGCACACTGTAGTTGTCTCTTGCCTTTTTATTGCTCCAGTACAGATAATGATGCCTTTGAATTGGTAATATCTGAGAATGCTATAATCTAGACTCTTCTTATTTTCCAGAAGAGGGCTGTTCCACTCACTTCCTCAAGCAAACAGGTGGCCTGAGGGTCTTAAAGGGATATACTGTACTGGTGTGGATTGGAATACACGACAGCAACAGTGACTGCTGTATTGCTGTAATGCTGTTTTGTATTCGCCAATGACTTAATTCCTGCTATTTAATTTAGGCTAAGCACAAAATCATGACTCAATGCTGGGCGTATACTGGGGCATATGAAATATGTCTGATGACTTGGTTTTACCCGTAGACACACCTACTTTTCCAGCTGGAAATAATTAAGTAACAGCAGTCATCATTTGTTTGGTAAAAATAAAAAATAACTAAAACTCTCACATTAATGCTGTCTGCCGCATACAATCAAAACAGACTGAGCTTGTTGTGTGTTGGGTGTTTTCAAGTATGATTGTGTGGAGTAACTTTAACTGCACGATAACTCTCAGGGTAATGAAATGCTCCTCAGCAGCATGGCGTCCTACTGCATGTGTGACTCACCAGTAAATAGCCCCTGAACTGGTTATAGATGATGGCTGTCAGTAAGTTCATCAGGTAGTAGGTTCCTGCCAGAAAGCAAAACAAATCCACTCTTAAAAAGAATCTTCCCACAAACACATGTATTTTGCTTTTAACAGCAGCACAATGATCTAGTATTAGTTCAAGCCACTTTAAGGGATAGTTTGGATGTTTTGAAGTGTGAGGTACTCATGTATAGTCAGTGTATTACATACAGTAGATGGTGGTGGGCACGTCCCTAGTTTGGAGAAGCAGTGAGGAGTATCGGCACTGGAGCCAAGCAGCGTACTGCTGTGGACGGGGGCAGCTAAACATATTTTAAACCCCTAAAAAAAATCAATATTAGTTTACATGCACGTTATATTTTTAATATTTTCATCACTTTATCTCGCAGACAGACAGCCCATTCCAACGGGGAACTAAAGCCGTCATCTAGGCTCTCTACAAAGTCACAAGACTCCATTGACAAAAATAGTCATTTTTACCATGCAGAACATGGGAGTTGCTGGTCTGCTGCTGCCTCAGTCAGTTAGTTATTTTGTGTTGTTATGTGATTTTGGTGAATCTGAACCAACACTTTAAAAAAGCAAAGTCACACAATAGCACAAAGAAAGTAATCGATCGAGGCAGCAGTATACCAGCGACTCCTGCGTTAAAATGACTGCTTTTTCCAAAGGAGTCTTCAAGAGAGCATAGTTAACAGTATCAGTTTGGGCTTTCTGACAGCAAGGTAAAGCAGTGTAAGTATTCTAAATAAAGTGTACACTTAAACTGATATTGATTCGTTTAGCTTTCAAAAATACACTTCAAAACATCAGAACTGTCCCTTGACTGACACAGAAAACGATAATCACCGCTTACCAATCACACTGAAGGTGACAAAGAAAATGGAGTAGCCTCTGTGCAGGGAGTAGGCAGGGATCATCACTGTGACAGGACAGAAGACACACGTTGGAAAGAGTTCCATCACGTAAAACAAAGGCTGGTGCATCAGGTGACTGATTGAGTACCATCTGGGTTGTTGGCTGTGGTGAGCAGCACCAGCAGAGAGGTGAGAGAACTGGGCAGGTCTCTGAAATGTAACCTCCACTCCTCGTTCTTCTTCGGATCCTGAACAGAACACACAGAGGCAGAGGCAGTTAGTTTAAGTTAGTTTTGATATTTCGTAGAAAGAAGCCGCGTGGGCTTCTTGATTAATTGACGTCTTAATATATAAATTGATAAACAAAAATAGTCATTAGTTCTTTAGTTGTACATGAGCACTACTGCAGCACTTGATATTAGAATTCAAACCACTAATGATTTTAACAAAGTTAAACAAATATTTCAGATATCCACCAACACTGGAAATATGAAATAAACGATATTGTGCGCTTTCTTTTTTGAATGTCCCATCCCTGTCTAGACAGATAAAGTGAACCTCCCTGTTCCAGGGATGGATTTCGTCATCTCTTTCTTGTGCATCACTACACATTTTGGTGGGAATTTTGACAGAGGGCTTCACTTACAAGTTCTTTGAAATTGTTTGGGCCTCAAACCTAATTAGTGGCTTCACACACGCACCTTCTTCCTTTCTAGGTCTTACAGCTTTGCTCTTGTTTAAACATATTTGATATCCTGTCCATCCAACCTGTCCTTGTGACGTTATTCTTCGTCTGTTTTTGAATTCCTATCTCTTTTTCTCCAACCGAATTTCCAATGACAGACTGTAGCGGTTTGTTTTTGGACGGTGACCCTCCGCTGATGAGTTGCCATCACAGTCTGGTACATGCCCAGACATGCGCATGCACACACTCGTCAACACAAGCCAGCATGTCAGTAGTGTGTATATAGCAGGGTGTGACGTGACTTGAACTCACCTCGCTTTTAGCAAACAGCAGCATGCCGATCATAGTGAAGAGACACAGGTGGAGCGCCAGCAGCAGGATGACACTGCACACACAC